TTTTTTTTGGTTTTTCTCCGGTACTGGGAACCGAACTCACGACCTTGCGCTTGCCAGGCAGGTGCTTTGCCGCTGAGCTAAATCCCCAGCCCCTACCACTAACTTTTCAACTGAGAGTTCATAGAAAGCCTTAAGCTTTATTCATTGACCTTTTAAGTTTTGATTAAAGGTTTCCAGCTGGTATTGAACAATATGCAAGCAATTTTGAAGGACTTGTATTAAAAAAATTTGCCACTGAGATACTTATGCTGTATTTATAAAGTAGCCTTTTGCGGGTGGGGGTAAGATTCCAGTATCTACAGACTCAGGACAAGAAAGTTGGAATTACCACTAGCTCCCTTTCAGATTTTATCACTTGTGCAAGTGATGAAAGCACTTATACACTACTAGCTGATATGATTCGGAAAGGAGAAAGAAAGAAGTGTACTAAACCTATCTTCAGTGTATTTTTATTATTTTGGTTTTTTTGAGACAGGGTCTTGCTACGTAGCTCAGGCTGCACTTGTACTCACTATTTAGCCCAGGCCAGACTAGAACTTGAGGTGATCCTCTTCCTCAGCCTATAGAGTGCTGGAATTACAGGAGCGTGTCAACATGCCTGGACAGTCTGAGTCTTACAGTTAGAAGAGCATACAGAGAACAAACAGTAGTATACTGTGTGTAAATGTGTTCTGTAATAATACTGTGATAGATATGTATTCTAATTATATATGTGTATTTCTAACTATGCCCTTTTCCCTCACTCACTTAGTAAGTCCTGTCAAATCTACCTTAAAAACTTTTCTGCAAACCATACCCTTTTCTGCCAAGCACTATGTCCAGATCCTCTACTGGGTCATTAAATTACTTTCTGAGTAGCTTGCTGTGTTCTGCTTCTACTACTTCTCTTCACATATAATCCCCTCATAGTAAGAACATCAAGTTACTAACTCTTGAATGTGTCGCCCTTTCCATCCCAATTTTCTTTACCTTTGCCGTGGAAAATAAGTCTCTTCATAAATTGTTATCTACAAATTGTCACAGTCCTGTGTCCTGTCACAAGGATTGCTATTGCTTATAAACCTAACTGAACTTTTTGTTAATTGCATGCCTTTGTACATGCTGTTATCTCTGTATAGAATTACTCGTGCCCTGTCTCCTGCATCCCTCAAGTTTATGTTTTGTCATCCATGAAACCTTCCTAGATCCCCTTCCTGGTCCAAAACATATACAGGCATATTTGAGCCTTCAGATATCGATACCCTAAAGCTGCCTTTCAGCTGAGATGTTTTCATTAGCTGACCACAGAATCCTATGGACTATGTTGTGAGTCGAATGGCCCTGCCCGCCTGTGTGCAAGCAGTTCATGTCTGATGGCATCAGTATCATCTTTTTGTACAATTTATTCATTCATTTAATTTTTACTTATATTGGCTTATTTTTTATAATTTTGTGGGTTAAACCTGCAGCCTTGTGCATGTTAGTGCTATATACCTAAGCTACATCCTCAGTCCCTCATATAGTTATTTATTGCAGTGGGTTTTGGACTGAATTCATAGGTACTTGAGAGGAAGATGAGAGATTGAGATGTTGGGGCTCTTACTTGGCTTTAACTAAAGCATTTCATCCCTAATTTGTTATATGTTACATGGGAAAAAGTAGATTTGCATGAGAAAGAGTTACAGTGAGGTCAGATTTTTGTTGTATTTCTTGTCTGCTTGATGCTTTGTAATCTGTGACTATTTTTATTCATCCTCCTTCTAGTCTCTCAAAGAAGAAATAAAGCCAGATTTCTCACAATCAAGGATATTTTATGTTATTCATCTTTCTTTCTCAAATATCTTTTGATTGTTACAATATAGTAATAGAAGTTACTGGATAAAATATAATTAATATTTGTTTATTTTAGTTATCAAGTGGGAATCCAGTATATGAAAAGTACTATAGACAGGTAAGAGTTTTGTTTCATTGTTTTCTAATTTGAACATAAAATGTAGGACAACTATGTATTGTGTGCATGCAGAATAGCAGCTAGCTGGATAAATTTAATATATCTTGCTTTCAGCTTCTTCTGTTTTAGCCTCCCAACTTTTTTTTTTTTTTTGTCTTTTTAAAACGGGGTCTTCCTGTGCAGTTCAGGCTGGCCTTGAGCTCACTTTGTAGCCCAGGCTGGGCTTGAATTTGCAGTAGTCTTTCTGCCTCAGCCTCCTGAGTGCTGGGATTACAGTCACGCCCTGTTTAGCCTCCCATTTTGAATGCTCAATGCTTTGGACAAACTTCCAGAAAAATAAAGGAAAATATCTGTTAGAAATCTTTTTTTTTTTGGTCTTTTTGAGACAGGGACTCGCTATGCAGTTCAGGCTGGCTTTGAGCTCACTTTGTAGCTCAGGATGGTCTTGAGCTCACAGCAATCCTCCTGCCTCAGCCTCCGGAGTGCTGGGATTACAGGCGTGTGCCACCACGCCCTGCTTTAGAAATCTATTCATTAGATATATTCATTCAGATATAAATATCAAAATTATAAGCCAAATATAAATGGTCTGTGTGTCATTTTAAAGACTTAGTAAAGTGTAGTTTTTGCAGACTGAAAACGGTGGCTCTCATGCACATCTGAAGTGGGTATGGGTGCTGAGGGCGCAGCTGAGGAGCAGAGCATGTGTTCAGGGTGCAAAAAGCCCCGGGCAAACCCACATGCGTGCATAGAAAAAAGGGTGAAGGAGTTTTATTTAACTCAGTGATTATTGGAAGAACCAGGTGAGTATAAAAATGAAAATATGAGTTACAGAGATTTGTATTCCACCAGGCAAATTTTGCATTGTTATGGACAGGGATCATTTGCATTTCTAATAAATAGTTGCTGTAATTTAACCAGTATCCCTGCGGAGTACAAAATAGTCTTTTCAATACAAAGTTAATCAGGGGTTTATTTTGTAGATCAGATAATCTCCTGAGGATAGTAAGGACAGAGAGTCTCATTTGCCCATTTTCAAATATTAGATCATTTTTCCTAACAGCCTCCGTACCTTGTGATCATGATCACAGAAGAAGCTGATCTCATATTTGGCTTGACTGTCTATATAGTTGCCAAAATACTAACCATTATAGGCTTCATTGGTCTTAACTTGGATTTATAACCATACACTATTTAGCAATGTCTAAGGCTAGAGAATTAATTTCTGCCTGAAAATGTTTCAGAATCTAACTGTATTTAAAAATTTTAATTTATATTTATATTTTAAGAGCTAGGGTCTTGCTTTGTTGTTCAGATTGGCCTAGATCCTGCTGCGTTAGCTTCTCAAGTAGCTGGGATCAAATGTGTACATCACCATGTCAGCTTGCCTGTACATTTTTAAAGCTTCTGTTATTTGTTTCTTTATCTTGAAGCTAGGATCTAAACTTTAGACGTTCTCTCTGTCATATTTCTGCCAGCCATACATATAAATTAGAAATTATCTCCTAAGTTTTTCCAGCTAGCTAAGGTTCCTAACCTGGTGCTCTAGATGACTTCGCTTACTATCTATAAGGCTGGGACGTTATAAACCAGGTACTAGGCCACTTTTTTGAAGAGGAATTTGTAGATGCTGGCTTCACATAAAATCAGTGTTTTTTAATACTAGCTTGAAAAAAAATACTAGCTTGTTCTAAATAAAAGGCCAGATATGGCCTTGTTTTATACAATTGATTGATCTAATTTTATCCTTCAAAAAGCAGAATAAATTGCTTTGTAATAACTATATTGCCATAAAAAGTAAAGGCATTAAGTAAAAATATTTGTTTTCGGATTCTGATGGGCCAGTGAGAATCAGATACTATTGAAAATTACTTCACTCATTTCACAAAATGAAATCCTACTAAGTTGTGGGTTTCTTCAAATTTGAAAATTAGGCAGTTCTTTCTTTTCTAAGTGCCTGGTTTATCCCATGTTCTAGCATTTGAAAGAAAGTTTCCTTTTTTGCTTCTTTGCTGAGATTGAGATGTTTATAGTACACTTGGTCAGTTAACTAAACAGGAAATATACGTGTTTCACAAATACCCTAGTATAATGTTGTGTTTCCCATAACTTGAAACATTTTCTTTTCTTTTCTTTTTTTGAGACAGGATCTTGCTCTGTAGTTCAGGCTGGCGTTGAACTCACTCTACCCTTAGCAGGCCTCGAACTCAAAGCAGTCCTCCTGTCTCAGCCTCCTGATTGCTGGCATTATAAGTGTGCATCATGCCTGGCTAATTTTTATTATTTACAGACAGGATTTTAGAGTCTTTACAAAAATCAGAGTCATATTTTACGAAGTGTTTTTCTATTCTTGGTGACCTTAATCCATCTTAATGGAAAGTCCCCATCAGTTAAAATGGGATGTTTCCTTTAACTTTGGTTTAGAAATGAAGAATTTCAAAGTCGTTTCTTAGTTTTTCATTGAATCAGTGCTGGTTTTAGAGTTGATGCTGCTTTTTTTTTTGGTACCAGGAATCAAACTCAGGGCCTTGATCTTGCCAGGCAGTTGTTATGGTGCTGAGCTACATCCTTGGCGAGTTGATACTGCTTTGATATTTTTTTAAAAGTGTTACAGTTTCTCAGAGTAGATATTAAAGCAGCTGATGATCTGAAACTGTTTGAAGAGGGAGCTAACGTGGCTATTACTGTTTTCCAGAAGATATTCAGGAAATGCTTCTTTTTCTTGCCTCTTACCGTACATTTATTGGGGTCGAAATAACATTTATTGGGGTCTAAATAACAACCATAAAAATTGGGCTGAGTGTGGTGGTGCACATCTATAATCCTAACACTCAGGAAGCTGAAGCAGTAGAATTGCTATGAGTTTGAGGCTAGCCTTTTTTTTTTGCTGGCCTTGAACAAAGTGAGTTCAAGGCCAGCTTGAACTGCATAGCGAAATCCTGTCTCAAAATAAGCAAAAAAAAAAAAAAAACAAAAACATATTGATGTTTTGATTCTACTCATTTGCTTTTACTTCCTCTGAGCTTCAGTTTTTATATTTGTATAGTAGCCATGATAAAAAAAAAACACTTTGCAAATCATGACACTTGTCTAGTTGGTGCTTTACTCATTTGGCTCTCTACATACTCCTTTGGCCTTTTTAGTCAAAGAAGTCTTGTTCCTTTTCTTTTAAAAGTGAGTTTCCAAATCACAGGTACAGGGGGCAGATAGATGGTATTAATTTGGCCTTTGTGTTTTATTGTGATATTATCTTTTTCAGGTTGATACAGGCAATACTGGAAGGGTGCTGGCTTCAGATGCTGCTGCTTTCCTGAAAAAATCAGGGCTTCCAGACCTGATACTTGGAAAGGTATTATTGTTTATTGTAAATTATAAGGCATGTGTAGAACCCTGGTTGAACTGGATACAAATTCAGAAAGGTAGCTTCAAGAAACTAGAACTGAGTTACAGAAACATTGGAGTGGGGCAACTTGTGATACAGTGATTTACTCTCTTGAAAAGTAAGGTGGTGTTCAGATTTTTAGAAATAAGTTACTTTTGAAGAGGGTGAAATGAGGAAATAGCAGTACAATATACAGTATTTGGTTATTGTGGGGAGTCACAGTACAGACTGGGAACCTTGCCACCCACTCAAAAGAGTTGGTGCTGCCCCTGCTTTCTCTATATAACTGTCTCTGTTTAATGTGTGATGAATAGAGAAGGGTTAGGAGGCTTGGGAAGAGCACCAAGAGGTGGAAAGCCCCTCTGTCAAATCTTTCATATATATATATATATATATATATATATATATATACACATACATACATATATATATACACACACACACACATATATGTATACATATATATATAATCATATTAATATGTCAAAATCCTGAAAATAATTTTTATTAATAACTTTTCTCAAATAAACATTAACCTCTCAACTTGCCCATAGGAAATAATACCATCTTAATAAGGATCTGAAATCAGGGATAGTATGTTTTAGCAGAAAGACATTTGATTTAGAGTTAAGACCTAGGTGTGGGAAGATGGCATTTGCCTGGAAATTGGAACTTGCGTTTCAGTTTTTTCCCTGACGTGTTAAATATTCTTGAGCCAAGTCCCCTTTAACCTCCTAGAGCCTTAGTGTCTCTGTAAAGAGTTGCACTGAGTAATTCCTAAGGGTGCTTTCCACCTTTAATTCCATTATTCTTAATCTGATTACTAGAGAACATGAGACTGTAAAGTGTAGGGATTTAATTAATCTTTAAGATGATTTCTGTTAAAAGTATGGCTTCTCTTTTTTTTTTTTCCTCTAATTTTCAGATTTGGGATTTAGCTGACACAGATGGCAAAGGCATTCTGAACAAACAAGTAAGATTTATAGATTCATAGATTCATTTGAAAAAGCTTTTTGAATGATTGAAATTGAAAAATTAGTTTCTGTGTTTAAGATAAGAATTACATTTTATCAACATTAGGGTTTTGTAAGAGCAGGTGTCGTAACACTGAAAAATTTTCCAACAACTAAGCATTAAAATACCTAATTCCTAAAGGTTGGTGTTAGTTTGGTGACATTGTTTTCCTGAGTTTTTCTTCTGTCCTGCAGAAGGACTGTGCTCTGTTTATCATATTAAATTTCTTACATTTAGAAGGTTTTAAGTAAATGTTGATTTTTGTTACTAAGTATTGAGTAACTTACTAGTAAAGTTACCTGGCACATTTAAAAGGAATCTCTCGACTAGTTAAATTTGACCGTTCTGGTCTGGGTCTTACCTTTGATATAATTACCCCCCCAAAAAATTATATGACCATAAGTAAACTCTAGACCAGAAATATGTGAATAATAATCTTTGAATAATCATCTGTAACTTTGACATTTGCTTATGGTAATGGATTCTGCTAAATCCTGGTACTTTTGCATAGTGCTATTACTTAAAGCTAATTTCCTCTTATAGGTGTGGCTAAAGCATGATCAAATCTAGAAAAGGAATGGGAAAAATTAGACGACAGTCAGAATATCTAGTTTCTGAACTCAGATTTCAGGGCTGGATTGTAGTCGTCACTGGAGCCTATGGGTAAACGAGGCAATTCAGTACATTCGAGATGTAGGAAAACTAAGTTGGTTTGGGCACTTGGGTCCTGTGGTCCACTGTGTAAATACCACATTTTCTTTATCCCACATTTTCTTTTTCATCTGTTTGTGGACACACAGGATGCTTCCAAGATTGAGCTATTATGAATTGTGCTACTTATACACGGGTATGTGTGCATCACTATGATATGATGTTCTTAACTCTTTTGGGAAGATACCTGGAAGGGGAATGAGGGGTTGAATGGAATTTCTATTTGTAGTTTTTTGAGGAATCTCCGTATTGATTTCCATAGTGGTTATAGTTCTTTACATTCCCACGAACAATGTAGAAACGTTCCTTTTTCCCCACAGCCTTGCCAGCACTTACTGTTTTTTGTTTCTTGATGGTAGCCATTCTTTCTGGGTTAAGGTGGAATCTCAGTGTTAATTTGCATTGCTGTAATGGTCAGCGATGTTGAACCTCTTATCATGTATTTATTAGTCATTTATTTACTGATACTTTTTCTGAGAAGTGTCTATTCATTTCAGTTGCATTTTTTATCTCTATATATGTATATATACGTATATATACTTTTTTTTTTTTTTTTTTTTTGAGGCAAGGTCTCACCATGTAGTTCAGGCTGTCCTTGAACTCATATGTAGTCTAGGCTGACCTAGAACTCACAGTGATCCTTCTGCCTCAGCCTTCTGAGTGCTGGGATTACAGGCATGTGCTACTACACCTGGCTAACTTGCTCTTTTAATTTAGTCCTTTATTTGGGGTGGTCTGAACTTTTTTGAGTTCCTTGTATATTCTAGTTGTTAGTCCTTTGCCCAAGGAATAGCTGGCAAAGATTTTTTTTCCCATTTTGTAGTTTGTCTTTTCACTCTGTTGGTTGTTTCCTTTGCTGTCTAGAAGCTTTTTAATTTGATATGATCCCATTTATTGATTCTTAATAGTATTTCTTATAGAATTAGGCTTCTGTTAAAAAGTCTTTGCTTGTGCTTATGACTTGAAGAGTTTTACCTATTTTATTGTTCAGCAAATTGTTGTTTTAATATTCAGTTCTTTGATCCATTTTGATTTTAGTTTAGATCATAGTAAGAGAGATGAGTGTAGATTTAATCTTCTTTATGTGGAACAGCAGTTTTCCCAGCATCATTTTTTTGTTTTGTTTTTATTTTAAAGAGAAAAAAATAAAACAAAATTTCAAAACAAGATAATAGGAAGGTAACAGTGGCCCAACACTATTTGTTAAAGAGGCTGTCTTTCCTCCAGCATGTTTTGGCCGTTTTGTCCAAGATCAGAATGCTAAATGTGTCCGTATTCTCTGTCCTGTCCCATTGGTTCACATGTCTGTGTTTGTGCCCATACTCAATTTTAAAACAAGTATTTTTGAAACAAATGTGCTCTGATATTTGTTGTTACATGAAAATCCTAGAGTAATTCTGAATTATTTTTGTAATTTCAGATTATGTGTGGTAAAAAAGTAGGTAGGTAGAGGATGCTTTTAACATTCATACTTTTGTTTCTCAGGAATTTTTTGTTGCTTTGCGTCTTGTGGCATGTGCTCAGAGTGGACTGGAGGTTTCACTGAATAGCTTGAACCTGGCTGTTCCTCCACCAAGATTTGTAAGATACTCTTTTAGATGTAAATTGTATTTAATTTTTAAAAAATGATACCACATAATTTGAAATTAAAGTTACTGTTTTAAGATTTCTACCTTTAACCTCTATGATGACTCAGCTGCATGGTTTTCATAGTGTCTAATATGTCATTAGCTTCTTGTGTATCCTTCAGAGTTATTATATGTGAATGTTAAGAAATATAAATGTTTTCCTCATTTTCTGTTAATTGTAGCATACTGTGCACAGATTTTGTACCATTTTAAAATGATGTAGTAATGTAGCTGAGCGTGGTGGTGTACTCCTGTAATACTAGTACTTGAGAGGCTGAGGCAGGAGAATTGCTGTGAATTTGAGGCTAGTCTGGGCTACATCGTGAGTTTAAAGCCAGCCCAAGAAATATAGTGAGACTCTGTCTCCAAAAAACAAAAAACAAACAAAAAAAAAGCAGTGTGGCTTAGAGATCTTTACATACTATGTCATAAAACCTTCCCTTATTTTTTTATGGCTGCTTTTTTCTTTGTTTATATTTATTGTCATTTAACTTTCTGTTGGTAACCTTTGATTGCTTCTAATTTTTTATTACAAAAATTCTGTAATGGAGCTCAGCATGGAATGCCTGTAATCCCAGCACTGGGGAGGCTGAGGCAGGATTATTGCTGTGAGTTCAAGGCTAGCTTGGGCTATATAGTCAGACTTGTCTCAAAAGACAAAAACCAAAAGCAAACAAACAGCTGTAATGAATAATAGGCTTATATATGTGTCATTTTGCATATGAAAGAATATATTTATATATACAAGTCCCCAGAAGTGGAGTTGCTGTTCCAACATTTTTTCTCTTTAATTTGCATAAATATTGTCAACTTGTGGTGTACTGGTTCACATTTCTCCCAATAATCGGTTGAAATGCCTGTTTCTCCTCATTTTGGTAGCATTCTGTTGTCAAACACTTAGATACTTGTTAATGTGGTGACAGCTGGTTTGTAATTATGATTTGTTCTTTTGATTTTATGCAGTGATGTTGAATAGCTTTTCTTATACTATGGTCCATTTTCATTGCCTTTATGTGACTGTTTAATAATAGCCTGTGTCTATTTTTGGGTTGTTTCTCATACATACTGTGGTTTCCTCTTGGATTTTTTTGTTCTTGGCCATTGATCGGTGCATCTGTGTGCTGGTTCTACATTGTTTTAATTATTATTTGATAAATGTTTGTGTCTGATAGGGGTGGTTTACCTTTCCCCACTCTTTCTCAGAAATTCAGTGGCTCTTGGTTTTATTGTCTTGGTTTGTTTATTGTGCTGACAATCAAAAGCAGGGCCTTGCACATGCTAGACAAGTGCTCTACCACTAGGCTACATATTTATTAAAAGATTTTTCAAATGTAAATATGAATGTCTCTTTAGTCAGATAAATGTAATAATTTGGGCCTAATTAATAGGCATCATGTACTTGTAATTTGTAATTTGGGTTGTTTTCCCAGTCTGGTCTTCTTAAATAACACTGGGAAAAAAATCATCAGTTAATAGGACTCTAAATATTTTTGTTACACTGGGTGTGATGGTGCATACCCATAATCCCAGTACTCAGAAGGCTGAGGCAAGAAGATCTCAGGTTTGAGTCCAGCCTTTGCTACATAGCAAATTCAAGGCCAACCTGGCCCATGTAGTGAGACCTTGTCTCAAAACAAACACCCAATTAATCAATATTTTTGTTAATTTATGTAATCTCGATTGTAGTAATATTTCTTGTGTAATACTGACATATTTCAGTTAGTGCTCCACAGTGCTTTATGTGGCTAAATGAAAATGTTTTTGTTTCAGTGGAAAATAGATGAAAGTCTTGTTAATGTAAAATGGTGTTCTGAATACATTGAGATCTTACATTTTGTATGAATGCATTTAAGCCCAGAGACCATTTTGTTCTTTATTGCTTAGTGGTAATAGGATTCCAACAATTTATTTTAAATTTATTTTTAGCATGATACCAGTAACCCTTTGCTAACCAGTGGAACTTCTGCAGCTGAGCTCCCATGGGCTGTAAAAGTAAGTAAACTTTCATAACTACTCATTTCTTACCCCACTTTACTTCCTACCCACATATATATCCTCTTTTCATACTTTGGAAGTATATTATAGTTTATATTATTTATATTAGCACAGTTAGGGAAATCTTTTTTTTTTTTTTTGAGACAGGGTCTCCCTATGTAGTTTAGGCTGGTCTTGAACTCATTATGTAGCCCAGGTTGGCTCAAATTCACTTCGATCCTCTTCCTTCAGCCTCTGGATTGCTGGGATTACAGATGTATGCCACCAAACCTGGCCAATTAGGGAACTCTTTGAGGCTTCTTTAAATTGTTAGTCATTTTATGACAAAAGGTGAGGAATTTGGCTTGGCGTGGGCAAATAATGAACAGTAATTTTTCATGTTATGTAGGAAACTCAAGATTTTTGGAGGTGTCTCATTATTGACAAGAAAATGAAATTGTGTTTTTGGAAAATTGGGGGAATCTTGATGTTTATTTCTAGAGCATTGATGCTTAACTTTTATTTTTTTTATTTTTGAATTTATTTATTTATTTATTTTTTTCTGTAGTGGAAATTGAACTCAGGACCTTGCGCTTGCCAGCAGGCGCTTGTGCACACTGAGCTATATCCCCGGCCCCTATACTTAATTTTTAAAAATGCATGTCTTTGAATTTGAAATGTAGCTACTACCAGGTTGAGAAAGTCATAGAATGTCACTAAACTATATCTTACAGAAGATAATTTTTGTTGTCAGTCTAAGTGAGAGAGGCAATTAAAAACTCTTCAAAGTTCTTCTACCTGAAATCTTTTGATTCTAGCCTAATTGTAGAAAAAGATAGTATTCCAGTTACAAAAGAAATAGGGACACTGGACTCAAGAGTAGAGTCACTTCAGAATTATTATTTACTCTTATTTTGATAAAGGTGAAATGTGTTTTGAATTTTAGTTTGCATGTTATCTAGTCTTTGAGGATTTGACTTTTAAACTGCAGTTAAATCATTTTGTCATCATTAAAATTGTTACTTAATTTTTTTATATTGTAGTCTGAAGATAAGGCCAAATATGATGCAATTTTTGATAGCTTAAGCCCAGTGAATGGATTTTTGTCTGGTGATCAAGTGAAACCAGTGTTGCTCAACTCTAAGTTGCCTGTGGAAATCCTTGGAAGAGTAAGATACTAAGTTTTTAATGTATTTTAGTTTTGTATCTGCCAGGCGCACTTACATAGCTCATTGTAAAATACATAGATCTTGTATTAAAACTGTTATTACATAATTTGCTGTGTTCTTAATATATAAAATTATTCTGTTTGTTTTTCGTTATTCCTTATGTGCTATGAGTGGTTGAAGTTAGTTATATATGTGAGCCCCCCAAGCATGTCCTTATTTCTTTGTGTTGTATACTCTGACTTCTCAATTGTTTGATAATTTTCTTCTCTTTTCTTTTTTTTTTTTTTTTTAATTTTTTTGAGACAGGGTCTCACTATGTAGTTCAGGCTGACCTTAAACTCACTTTATAGCCCAGGCTGGCCTCGAGCTCTCAGCAGTCCTCCTGCCTCAGCCTCCCACGTGCTAGGATTATAGGCATGTGCCACCATGCCCAGTCTAATTACTTGATGATTTTTAGAGACTGTCAGAATTTTATGTCTGCTACTTTACTACATGCATCATAGGGTTCTGTTGTAAGGAATAATTTCATCTCTGAAATCATAAATTCTGCTAAGTTGAATTTCCATCCTTGTGGGTCTGTTTTCTAGATGCTGGAAAGTCTTTAATTCTTTAGCTTTACTAAGATCTTTAAATCTCAGACTTGTTTACTCTTCCTATTTTTTTTAAAAAACCGTTCACTTGTGTTAATCACATTCCCATTATTATGCAGCCAGTAGCATTACCTATCTGTATAACTTTCCAGTTTGTAAAATTAAAACTCTATTCTATCCTTTTTGGAAGAGGGGCAGTTCTGTGGATTGGACCTAGAGCCTTGTATATGCAAGGCAAGCACTGTACCAGTGAGCCACATCCCCGGCCCTTCCCCTCTCTGTTGAAATTACTTTGGTTCTCCTCCCACTTGGGATTTTTTTGGTCCATATTTCTGTATATTCATCCTTAGCTCCCTTTGGTACATTGTTCTTCCATCTCTCTTGCCTGACAAAGTCATAAATTCTACTCTCAAATTTGAATTCCGGTCCTTTTCCTACTTGATTCCAAGATTTTTAATTATTTAACTCATTTTTGTCTTTTTGAGACAGGGTCTTACTGTGCAGTTCAGGCTGGCTTTGAGTTCACTTTGTAGCCCAGGCTGGTCTTGAACTTGCAATGACCCTTCTGCCTCAGCCTCATAAGTGCTGGGATTACAGGTGTTTGCCGCCACACCCGGCAAGATTTTTATTCTTTCAGTTCACTACGAAGTCTTTCACTTCAATGAAAATCCTTTTTTAACTTTTTTTTTGGGGTGGTGGTGGTGGTGGTGCTGGGTATTGAATCCAGGGCCTTGTACATAAAATGATATAGCTGTACCATCAAGCCACACCCCAGCCCTCTGAAAAACCAAATTTGCATGAATTTAATTATCTGTCTTCTCCTTGATCACATATAGAGTACTGAGAAAGCCTAGTAAAAATGGTATCATAAACTCAGGATGACTAACTTCAACTGGTCATCTCCATTCTGCCTGCGACTCTTGCACTGTGTCTGAAGTGGTTCCTCTCTATTCTGTTTTCCTACTTTAGATCTTACCTATTCTCTGTAGACCACCAGCCTTTAATTCCCTGCTGAAGCAGAGCACATGGAGTTAAGTCCTGGCTGCACTACTTCTTACTTAGTTGTATGACTTGGGGCAAATCATTAGAAAACCATGTCTCAGTTTTCCTATACTTTATTTTTTTTGGAACTGGGAATGAAACTCAGGACCTTGCACTTGCCAGGCAGGCACCATGCTGCTGAGCTACACCCTTGGCCCTTCCTACACTTTAAAACAGGCACATTTTCCAGTTTATAGGGTTGTAAGGATTGAATGTGGTAATGTACATAGTGTACTTAATTCATGCTTATTACATGATCCTTGGATTCTAGTTGCTATGGTGATGATGGTACTAATAACTACATTACCATTAGTACTAATACTACTTCTCTTGGATCAATGTAATATCGGTTAGGTGCTCAATAAATACTGATTTAAAAGGCATAGTATTGTGTCTCACTCATTGTTTCTCTACAGTGTGATATGATGTTTCTAAACTATAAATAATCTTGTCATTTTATTAAAATTAACCTTTTAGTAGTTTCCCATTGCAATTAAGATAAAGCCCAGGTTCTTTTTAAGGCATTTCACTTATTTTTACTTTTATATCTCACCAGTATACTTTTTTCCCCTGCCCTCAAGAAGCACATGAAATGAAAGAAGAACATTAATCTTTCTCACTTCTCTTTTTAAGGTTTGGGAGCTGAGTGATATTGACCACGATGGAATGCTTGACAGAGATGAGTTTGCAGTTGTAAGTAACCTAGTGTTCTTAACATCTGAAATATCTCAATGGTTTTGTCATGTGAAAACTTCCCCTTTTAATTCATCTTTGAAGGAAAACTATGTATATTAGTTTGTTGGTATGCACACTTTTTTTGTAGAATTTTTAGGTTGTTAGCAAATATTTTAAAGTAAATGAGTAGCAGAAAGTGTGTGTTTGCCATCCTTGTCTCTCTCTTTCTCTCTTTTTTTTTTTTTTTTTTTTTTTTTGTACAGGGAATCAAACTTGGGACCTTGCACTTGCCAGGCAGGCACTGTGCCACTGAGCTGTATCTCCAGCCCCTTTTGTTTTGTTTTGTTTTGTGAGGCAGGTTCTCACTATGTAGTTTAGGCTAGGCTTGAACTCTTATGTAGCCCAGACTTCAGTCCTGCCTCAGCCTTCTGAGTTCTGGGATTGTAGGTATGCACCACCATGCCTGGCTTTCCATCCTTTTTCATTTGACTTTAAGGTATGTAGGAATACATGCTTTGGTTAATGTTGTGCAAAGATTATGGGCAAGTATTGTCTTTTGTATCCCAACTTGATGAGATACCTCAGTACCTGACTTTGCTATAGAATAGTATTGCCTCAGATGTATCCCTCAATTTTCACATATTTTTCATTGAAAGAAAGCATGAATAACACTTTAGTTTCATGTCATGAAGGCAGACAAATTTTGATATCTTACCAATTGTTTGAAAGGCCTATCTGAAGACATGTTGTTACCTTAGTAAATTACAATAAGACATAATGTGTTTCTTTTTATTTTTTTTTATATTTTTGAGACAAGGTCTTCCTATGCAATTCAGGCTGGCCTTGAGCTTACTTTGTAGCCCAGGCTGGCCTTGAACTCTCAACGATCTTCCTGCCTCAGCCTACCAAGTGCTGGGATTACAGGCATGCGCCACCATGCCCGGCTCACTAATGTGTTTCTTAAAGGTTAGGTAAAAGGGCTGGGGATTTAGCTCAGCAGCACAGTGCCTCCCTGGCAAGCGCAAGGTCCTGAGTTTGATTCCTGGTACTGGAAGAAAAAAAAAGGTTAGGTAAAACTCTGTTGTGAACTCTTTCATGGTAAATCTTTTTTTTTTTTTTTTTTTTTCCCCTTTTTGAGATAGGGTCTTGCTATGTAATTCAGGCTGATCTTGAACTTACTATGTAGCCCAGGTTGCCCTTGAACTCACAGCCAACCTCTTGCCCCACCCTCAGGAGTGCTGGAATTATAGGGCTGTACCACCATGCCTGGCCATTTGTGATAAATCTGTAATCTCTCTTTTACTTTCTTAGTTGATATGTTTAGTTCATATTAATTTTACAGAATACTGGGTTTCATTGTGGCATCTTCGTATATGCATATATTTTGACTATACCTATAATCCATTACCCTCCCTTATACCCCTGTTCCCTTTTTTACTCTTTTATTTGGAAATTAGTTTGTACAGACTTTCAGTCTCTTTATTTTGCTAAAGAATTGTCTTTATTTTTCTTTTAATTTTTAAATTAATCAAATGCATGGGTGTTCTACTGCTGATCTACCAGCCCTTTAATTTTTTTTTGTTTGTTTTGAAACAGAGGTCTTGCTAAGTTGACCAGGCTGGCCTCCAACTAGTGATCCTTCTGCCTCAGCCTCCTAAGTAGCTGGGATTATAGGCGTATATACCACCTTTTCTGGCAAGAGTTTACCATTTCTATTTCTAATTGCATTGATTTGGTTCTTTTCTTTCCTGCTTTGCTAAATTTGCCCAAGAGTTTCACTATTTTGTTTATTCTTTCAAGAAGTTAGCTCTTTATTATTTGTAATTTTTTGTCTCAATTTCATTAACTTCTGCTCTGATTATTGTATAATTTTCTTCCTTGTACTAGCTTTAGATTTGGATTTTGTTTTTCTAGAACCTTTAGATGCATCATTAAGTTTTTTTATTTGAGCTTATGCTGTTTTTCTGATGTGGATATTTATAGCTATAAACTTTCCTCTTAGAACTGCTTTTAATGTGTCTCTGTAGTATGTGGTACTGGTATTACTGTTTGATTCTAGGAACTAATTTCTTCCTTGATTTCTTTTGTGACCCATTGATTATTCAAGAGTATATAGTTTAATCCTCATTTATTTGCATAATTTCTGTGTTTTTTTTGCCATTGATTTCATGTTTAATTATGCTGTGAACTGATAATATACCTGGGATAATTTCAGTTTTTTGGTATTTATTTAAGCAGGCTATAGATCAGTATGTGGTCTGTTTTGGAGAATGTTCTATGTGCTACTCAGAAGAATGTGTGTTCTGTTGTTGGGTGGAATACTCTGTAGATTCTGTTAAGTCCATTTGTTTGAAGGTGTGGTTTTGTCTAGTTGATCTATTTGTGATAGTGTGGTATTGAGGTTCACCATTATAATTATATTGATGTTTATCTGATCTTTTTATGTCTAGTATGTCTGTTTTATGAAATTGGATGTGCCAGTATTTGGTGCATATATATTTACAATTGGTATCTCTTTGTGTTGAATTGTTCTCTTAACCAATATGTAGTGACCTTCTTTGCCTCTTCTGATCAGTTGAAGTCCACTTTGTCTGAAAATAGGATGGCTATTCCTACTTGCTTTCAGGCTCCTGTTGCATGGAATATTGTTTTCCATCCTTTGATTTTAATCTGTGAATTTTTTTGGGATTACATGTGTTTCCTGTATGGAGGATACTTTTGGGTTTTGTTTTTTGATCCAGTCTGCCAAGCTCTCTTATCTTTCGATTCAGGAGTTTTTTTTCTTTTTCATTCTTTTCTTTTTTGTGTGTGTGTTGAGGGTTGAGTATTGACTAGAGTGGACTTTTTGCTTGTATAGAGATTTCTTTAGTTACTGTCTGCTTTTCAGTGATAGGATCTTTGGTTTTGTTTGCATTTTGGTATTTACTTCTTCAGCCTACTCAGTTTAATAGGGTCAGAACCGGTTGCTGTATTGCAAGGAGAGAATCCTTACTGGGTATACCATCAAGAAAGGTCTAATCATATATTAATTATGTACATTAAAACATTGTTAACCATTTCACCCTTCTATCAGGGTCCCATACAGACTGTATTATAACGCTATTAAGAGGTTTCTGAGATGTAGGGGGAAGGTGGATGGAAGAAGGAAGAGAAAAAAGAAAAGCAACCAGTAAGAAGAGAATGAGAAGAGAAATATCAATAGATGGAAAATAGACAGGAGATCTGAGTCTGTTAAAATTATTTTTATTGCTGAAGTACAGAGCTAGCATTGAGGGATTTGAGAGAGGAAATAGGGTTAGTGGGAGAGGGAGAAGGGATGCAGAGGCAGGGAAGTATAGGTGGAGAATGGGGAAAGCTGTGAGTGTGTCAGAACCAAGTACTGTGTTGGTAGTTAGCTTATGTTTGGATTGTCTGTGCAGTTTTAGTGAGGGCACTTCCCACGAAAGGTACTATTTAAGTTAAAGTTCTTATTCCCCTCTGCACATAAACAGACAGCTCCTATATATTTGCCAGATGAAAGGAGGCACCCAAGAGAGGGAAGATAAAGGGAATAAGAAAAAAAAGGAAGAGAGAGAGGCAAAAAAGGAAAAATAACAACAAAAAGAACCAAAAGCCAAAACAAAACCACACACAATTGTAAGAACACAAAATCAAAGAGACCTCACAGGCTCATTTATGTTTCAGTCTGAGTTCAACTTCAGGGCTCTGAGCCACCCCTACCCCTGTGATTTGCTTGTTGCTTGCATGTATGTGAGTGAGGAGGCTTATTGATCTGAATGGCCCTCTGCGCCCACCTTCCAGTTCCTGTGTACCACTTTCCAGTTGCTCTGGGCATAGCCTTTGCCTCTGTCTCAAGATCCTACCCCCTCTTAGTTTGGGGAAGGGAGGGAGGAGCAGTGTAACTGGCTCGCACCTAGTTCTCCAGAAACAAACTGCAGTAATGTTGATGACACAATGACGAACCAGTTACTGGCATATATGGTAGTAAAAACCAGTTACTGTAATGTTTTACTGTATGTGCTACCAAAGCAAGCAAGCAGTTACTATAATAGCAACAACTCTGTCACCACTGGTAATAGCAAAGAAATCAGCAACAATAATTCCTTCTTATAGCCGGGCGTGGTACCGCACACTTGTAATCCCAGCACTTGGGAGGCTGAGGCAAGAGGATCGCTGCGAGTTTGAGACCAGCCTGAGCTACAAAGTGAACTTAAGGCCAGCCTGAACGGCATAGCAAGACCCTGTCTCAAAAAGACAGAAAAAAAAAAAAAATTCCTTCTCCAACTCTAGCCTGCTGTTTGAAAGGGTTCACTTTCAGAGTAAAAAACACATGCTGTATTTGCAGTTTACAATAACCATGGGCTTTTCATGGGGCTACTGCTGCCATCCTGGTCCTTTGTTTCTCCCTGGGGCTGCCAGCTCTCTCCAGGCTTAGCTTGTGTTTTCAGAGGCAGTTCCCTTTCCCAGGAAAGGCCAAGCATTAGTGTTCCTGGACTCCAGCCAGCCTCCTGACTCAGTCTGCCGAGTAGCTGGGAATGTAGATGCATCATTTAGCTCAGCTCTGTACTATTTTCCTAAATTATAATTACTACAACATAAGTAGTATAATTAAAACGATGTCATATGACTTGTCCTTATTTACAAGCATTAATGTTTTTATTTATTTATCTTTTTTGGTATCAGGAATCAAACTCAGGACCTTCTGCTTACCAGGCAGGCGCTTGTGCCGCTGAGCTATATCCCCAGAAGGCATTAATATTTTTAAACAGTGAATTTTTTTGTTTTTTTTTTTTTGTCTTTTTGAGATAGGGTCTTGCTATGAAGTTCAGGCTGGCCTTGAGCTCACTTTGTACCCCAGGCTGGCCTCACTTTGTAGCCTAGGCTGGCCGCAAACTCGCAACGATCCTCTTGCCTCAGCCTCCTGGGTGCTGGAATTACAGGCGTGTGCCACCATGCCTGGCATAAACAGTGAATTTTAAAAGTTCGTCTTAACTTTTCCTTGAAAATTGAAGTAATTT